AAATACAAACAAAACAAGACTAACGCTGTCAGTGCAAATTTCCTGGTGTTTCTTTTATGAATTAATCTGATCTAACGCAATAAATGTCTGTTTAAATTAGGCAAGAAAAAATCCATTAAATGTTTGAACTGTCGTGACAAGAACTATAGTGGTCTAGCTCTCTCTAGTATATCTAATAACTACCTTACATTTTATTGTTGTTTCGTAAGAGCCTACATCTTTATGGAAAGTATTTCTCAATTGAGAGGCAACAATGAAAAGTTTAATTAGTCGCCTCAAGAAAAACATTATGAATAACTAATACGTAATACGGGATAGAGGCGGTGGTATGATTCTACCTAACAGAAGGCATGAAAATCTGACTCCGTAATAAATTAGAATAGAATCTTCCGTATAACGCCGTAAATACAATTGTACGAAGACCTATTGCTGTTTTCCATTTTCTCTTACTTTCTCTTTCTTTACTTATTATTCAAGCTGTTATTTAAACAGTTACATCTGCAGTCTCCCCGCACGGTTTCAATCTCCAAACCGCCGCCCGCCCTTCGCCGACATTGACATTTAGCCTAATCATTAGCATATGTATCTCGTCTCTGACGGATCGTTTTCTTCTCTAAGATAATCAATTTTTACACGTTCATGTTACATTCGGGTTACCAGACATGGTATGAGGATTTTTTCGTTTTGATCGAAGGTTAGAGGCTTTGAGGCTTAGTTGGAATATTTTGGATGTCTTGAATCCACGGCTTAGCATTTCGTGACATTTTTAAAGTTGTTTTAGACTAACTTTATTCCATAAAGATGGATTAATAATTGATTGATTTACATAAACGCGAGTGAATTAATCATCTTTCGAAGTGTCCTGCGATCCTTTCACGCTAAGTTTCTATGTTTTTAAATTTTGTTTCTGTTATTTTTTACTTTCCGCCATAAGATTAACACCAAAGCATGTTCACACGAATAAGATGTTCAATAATGTTCGTTTAGGTGCGCTCATGAACCATCCAGACTATCTAGATGGCGCGCATAGATCGAGACAATTTTTTCAGACTGAATATATATCTTGCTGACGAACATTTGTCACTTAACAGTTCAGAATTAATAGTCTATTTTAAAGTTCAGGAAGGCAAGGTGTACAGAGAAAACCCGTATACATATAGCACATGATAGTCTTCTCCATTAAAGAGTCTATCTAATGTTAGCAGTTGATGAAAAAAAAAATATAACTATTGTTCATTGTCAACACATGATTCTTTAGCGCGGCTCTTCCCAAACTTTTCATAAGGTCACTGAATTAAGAAAAGCCCAACATACCGGGATTTGATGCTTGTCTCGGAGTTTTCCGCGGTTTTGCGCCCCGCAGTAGATTCCAATCGGCCCCATTAAGGAGCAGAAACCGTGGTATAAGCAACTTTCACCAAGAGCTTCACCAATTTGACCTGCAACGATGCACGGGCAAAAATACGCCTTGATGCAGATTCCAACATTTTCGAAACAGCCACAGAGACCACTCGACCAGTCGCTCATTTTAAATTTTCTGATCGCCGTTCAAAGGTTAGATATGAGGTTTTTCTGCTTCCTTTCCAAACGTGATGGCGTTATGGTTCGGGGCAACAAGCGGTTACAGGTTGAATGTTGTTTATAAGTTAGGTTGCCCAGCGACAGTGAAAACAACATTTCTTATTGGTTGGCCAAATGAGTTAGACGGCATCTTAATTGGACTTGATGACGACCTCTGACCGAAATGTGTCGTGTTGATAGATAAAACTGACTGTGACCAATAGATAATCAAAAAAGACAAACAAAGCGCTGGATTCCCTGAAAAAAAAAAAAAAAAAAAAAAAAAAAACAAGGGAGTTATCGTTTGCAAGTGGTCATGGAAACTTTGTTGACTGTTTCCGAAAAACGTCCCAAGCTTTTCTTTTTTTCATAGTTGTTGTCCTTGGGTCAGTTGAAGTTTTTCAAGTTTTTGAGGACGTTGCCTTCTGAAGTTAGAAATTCGAACGACTCAAGTCAACTTTAATTGAGAATCAGCGGTTGACTTTGCTTACCCCATGTCGCACTAAAACTGCGTCGTTAATAAAAACTAAGATACGTAAGCAAAAACTAAATACATAGACAACTGAAAATAACGAAAAAAAAAAAAACAGATAGGCTAATATAGAGCGGGATAAAAGATAAAATAATGAAAAAAAAAAAGATTTTTATATGACATTTTGGAACAGATAGTATGTCAAATAAACACAGTTCTCCACTTCGAACTGCCCTGGTCAATTTCTAGTTATTTTAAGTGTTTTACACCGCAGGAAATCGCTTTTCGTAGTGAAGCGAAAGCAAGTGTCATGAAACCCAAACAAAAGTATTCACAAAAGCTAAACAAAAAAGAGAAACAAAAAACAAAAGAAACAAAGATCTATTGTGATCTTATGTCAGACGGAAATTGATGTCTTCGAGGGGGGGGAAACGCGATTAACTTAGCTTTGATAATTTACAGACAAATTTTCATTTCGTATATTAGCCTGATGTAAAATTTCCTACTTCGATCTCATGTTCCACTGTTCTTACTATGATATCAATGGGATATCCCTAAGTTTTGAAATTAACTTTTGACAAAAAATCCCAAGAAAATTTTTTTCAAATGTGGCCTAAACCCCAAAGGTAATAACTTATTTCGCCATTGTTTACTTTAAACAAAGAAACTGTAATCATATTGAGCAGGGGTTCTTCGGAAATCTTGCTACAAAAACATATTTGTTTTAGCAGAAGACGAGAATACATATATTTTGAAGAGGATATATTCATCCTTCCTTTCTTTCTTTTTTTTTTTCTGTAGGTCTGAGAAATCAGAACTGTTTGCCCAAAACGTTTGGGGTTACCGAAAAGTCTCGTGCAAGCAGTTAAGCCAATCAGAACCGAAATTAGCAATTCACGTGGTGAACGCGCGTATTTCAACTAATTTTGATGGAAAAAGTATTGCGTTGGGCTTCGCCAAATCTTTGCATTATACGCTCCAAGTTTTTTCCGTTTTTGACAAATTTTAGTAACGCTTTATGTAAGAGGTTTAGGAAAGGTCAACAACAGGTAAGTGTATGTTCACGTTTACCCGAGGTCCTTAATATTTCTTGCAATATCCTATTAGAATAGTTTACGAATCTGTGTGGCGTAATCTTACGTCGCAATTCGATGAGGTATTTGTTAAGTTTTCAAATTCTAAGAGCATTTGCAACTGAAGATGACATGCGTAATGTCGAAATATGTTTTGCAAACTTAAGATGCCGTTTTTTTTAAAAGAATTACAGTTACTTTGCTTATTTTCTGACTTTCTCGAAGTTTTCAGCAAAGACAATTTGATCACGTGTTACACTATGCGAGCTTTTTCTGAGTTGATGGTATCGTACAAATTTTGCCTTCATGTCTATTTTGCAACTTATATCTTTATCTACGAACGTCAAAACGGTCGTTACAAAAATTTTATTAAAAAAGAAGTTGAAAAATGGCGTCCTTTGATAAGTGGATAAAGTTATCAGGAGAAACCTGTGATAAAGCTGATAAAAATATTTCGTGTTAGCGGAGTAAAATTCCCTTTGATAATATGCGGGCGAATTAACTCTTGATCAGCGTTTCTCACTTGTCGTTCGTACATCTTATTTAAATGTTACATTTTAATCTTCAATTTCGTGTTGCTCAGTGACAATTTATCGAATATCTCATCCCCCCTCGCTTGTTATTTTTGAGATGACAAGCGCATTTGAGGCACGATATGATGTTAGAACATAGCTAGCAGAACCGCGCAATCAAATTCAATATTTGTAAGCGTGCTCAAAATCCCGATAGTGCACACTGACAGCGTCAGCAAATCGCTTC